TCGTTTAAACAAACGCGTGACGCTTGAGCGATCGCGAATCGTGTATGAGGGACCACTGCCTGGTTTCCTTTTTTTTTTCTTCACACCGTTTGTCCATCGGCAAGGTCGAACGGAGTATCATTTCATGTCGTGGACGCATAATGGCCGCTCTATACTACAATTACCGCTATTAGGTATATCGCAATGATGGCTCGTCAATCGTCGTTTAAGTAGCGACGAATCAATACCTTGACGCAGCGTTATTATTACAATTATCGTTGCAATAATTGTTAAAAGAATCGTTAGAATGATTTTTCTATATTTTTATCGACTTGACTAAGAAATTTTAAGAGATATTCCTTTTAATTACTATAATTATCCCGTTCGCCTTTCCGATTGTCGTTATCGGGCGCGCGCGTATCCCATTCTCCTCGCGCGCCGGCCGCCACGCCGCGCCTTTCGCCCGGCGAGCGCGCGACGACGAGTGCGGAGAGGCGAGAGATAACGGACGGTTCAACGAACGTCTGGGCGCTGGGTCGGGTCCTAGATAAAGGGGGAATGCCTAGACGAGACGGGGCAGATCACCGCGACGATCGGGCACTCCTCGCCCGGGCCGCGGGCGGATGTCGGTCACGCGGATTTGCATCGCAACTCGTTGTCCCCACTCTGGGTTTCCGACGCGGTGGCGGCGACGGCGACTCGGTCGGTCGGTCGGTCGGTCGGGGGGGCTTTAAATCCGGCGCGCTGGAAAGAGCCAGACCAGGAGATCAAAGGGGGATTATATGAAAGTTTACCGAAAGATCGGCAAGCTCGCGAGGATTAGAGTAACGAGCCGGTAACAGGTAGTTGAATGCCCGTGTTGCATTCCGCGTCCGAGAGGCGTATACGCACGCAATGACGAGGCTTATGTAACCCTTCGCACGGCTATACGTTCCTACATACCAAGCGCGATTTATCATTCATTTCCTATTTAAAGCGACCAGCGATAATCCAGTCAATTTCGAAACGCGATATTTTCTTCATTCATATATTACAACTGCAGGAAATCAGGTCGATCTCTTGCATTAATCCTGACACAGAATGAAGTTTTTTTTTCTCTACTCGAAGACTTATTCCACACACCGGATGCACGTGACGTGAGCATTGAGAATTCTTTGCATAATTTAGTTAGCTCTCGTAAGATATCGCATTTCTATTTTCTAGTCTTTGTACGGTAATGATGATAATAATTAGATGTGCACGATTGTGAAACTTGTCACTAAAGGGCCGGCGTCTTCATTACGAGTGAAAGTAACTCGTCTAACAATGGGTTTGCATCCGGTACTTAAAGCGTCGCTGGTAATTAAAATTAACGCCGGTAACTTATTGTGACGTTTGAAATTCTTGTGCGAATTAGTTAAGTTGCCGACAAAGATTTACAGCCTTGTATTTAGTGGAAAGATGATTTAATATTATTTTTTTTTTTAATTTTATCTCTTACTATATAACCTTTTTTTCTCTAATCTGCAAAATTCATGCCGGTTGTGCAGCGATATGAAAACGATTGTTTATACATATCTTACAAACATGTGCATAAAATTTTATACATAAATATCTCGTTATAATAATAGATTCAAACGCGAGAAACAGAAGCTTACGTAATCTTTATATTACATCAGCGTCGTTGTTTATAACCGTTCGAGGCCTTATTATTATGATTTATATTATACTTAAAATAGCGTGACGAACACACAACATTCGCACAACAGATGTCTCGATATCAATTACTAGAATCGATGACGACATGCCTTCGATGAAATTATCTATTTTTAATCTCGCGCTAAGTGGACGTCGCTTAAAGGTGTTTGATTTGTAGTTTAATTAAACGTTGTTGTAAGAATCGACGTTTATCGAAAGGTCTTACGAGTAAAGTTTAGAAAATTAAACTGGAGAATCTCTGGTCTTCAAGGATTTATCGCGGCGTCCCGATAACGATCACAATCGACAATCACAATCGCTGACATACCTATGCCGCTTGTCGAATACTCGCGTGATCTCGCGTATAAAGTCAACAATATTCATTGTCAGTTTCTTTAAATCTGGTTCACGCCGGATTAATTATACATGCACACGTCTATGTCTGTAGCACTACACGAATGATTATCTTTGATGGCGCTAGAGGCACACGCGATTTTCGTTACATCTTACTTAGCGTTTCAAGATCGAGCCGTGTGTTGTAATTAAGCGTCTGATCAAATACCCGTAATTACGTATGCTAACATGCCTGAACGTCGTGTGACATTAGCATGATAAAGAGATATATTTTCAATGATAGATAGATCACGACAAATGTCCGTCTGAAAAATGAATATCATTGGAGGAAGACGCTCCGTTGACGTGTCTGAGATATTAGAACATAATAAATTTGAATGTGCCTCGCAAAGAAGAAAAAGAAAACAATTCCGCCGTATCGATTATCTTCATCTGCGGAATTTTATCTGAGAAATTTAATCAGCACTTTACTGTCTGTTTTCAGAGGGATAGTTTCGCCGTTTAGTACGAGAAGACACAACAGCCACGATGCCGAAATCGGTATGTATTCCACTTATCAGATATCTTAAATTGTATATCGTCTTATTGGCATTAAAACTTCTGGAGACGATCCCAGAAGAAAACGATTTAATAAACTGCGATATTGCATCCGTAATATGGTTTCCGTAATGCATGCCTAGCGAATAACTTCAAGCGTGCAACTCTCGCTTTAATATAATTCGCGCGGCAACCTGATATTCCGCTGCGGGAAAAGATTAAAAAGGATACCTACGAGAGCGAGCGAGAGAGACATTAACATGTACAGCGTGTTATCGAGAGGAGAGATATTATCCGGAATATATTTGCACAGTCGCGGCTCACGATTTGCACACGTTCGCGGAATATCGTCGAGCCTTTTGCGACACCGACGACCGAAAACGTCACGCGTTCACTTTGCAGTAATTTCTGTCGCGATAAGATAGGTATTCGAATTGCCACGCGTGACTTGCCGCGGTCACGCGTCTCGCGACATGCTGGTGACATTTGAGCACTTCGGAAGCCGAGATCGGTATTTCAGTTCGGTGAACTGGGAAAATCGAGGGGAAGTTGTAGATCAGTCGTTGGTATTAAAAATTAAGAAATTTTATAGAAAGAGGGAAACCGATCGGTTTTTGGCGCTCTTAAGAGAAACTCCGTTTGTCCGGCAAGAAACCAATTGCAGTTTAATCGATTAATCGGTTCTGATTGCGGAATTGTCGCTTTTTTTCCGTAAATTACAAACGCCTGCCTACTCGTCGCAATCGAAGTCGCAACCTGGCGTGAATAAACCGATCTCGGTCACCGGTTACCTGTACTTTGCACTCGCTGCTCGAGTATTAAAATGGAAGAAGATATCCATCTTTTTGTTTGATACTGCAAAGCGATGAATAATGAACGGAAAACCGCACTATTTCCTGGCCATGAAGGTGCGGCGCTTCTCCGAGACGTTTGCATGCATCTTTTTGTTTTTTGTCAGCATTACGCAAGGCAATATCTTTTATTGGGATCGACGCTAATGAATACTTGCGCGCAAAAATAAAAATATTATATTCCGTAGACGTGTTGCGACTCGTCTCTTCTATTCACGGCTGATTTTCTTTTTCTTTTATGTAACTTCATTATGTAATTTGATACAAAAGACAATGGATTATCTAAATCGCGTGCACATCCATTTTTTTCCGGGTTTTTTTTTCCAAGAAGATACTTTCCAATTTTATTTCCCGCGCAATCAAACGCGACCTTTTCGCGAAATTCGATGTGTTTACGCAAAACGAGCGACGCGGCGTTGTCTATTTAAGCCAAGATACCGATACGTATTTGCATAAAAATCGAAGCGACCGCGTTGCATAACGAGAAACTGATTTACAGTTTGACTCGAGGAAAGATCAACCGCTAAGCTATTTTTATCGCGTTCGTTTTGGTTAAAAAATCAGAAAATAGCGTCGACGATCGCCGAGAGAAATCGCTCGTTTTTTTTGTTTTCTCAGATTTTCGTTCTTTTTTTCTTTTTCTATTCATTGCGCGCGCTTCCATCGTGGACATCTCGGGCCGTGTAGGTCGACGACGGTAAGGAATGCGATATCACGAGTGTCGCAACGTGAAAGGCATCGGCCTTTAAACGCATCCGAGAGGTCGGCGAGTGTCCTACTCGCTCGGCCGCCGGAAGCCTACGGACTTTGCGCGTCTTCTTCGAGGGAGAATTTTTTTCTTTTTTTTTTTACGTAACGTTTTCCACGAAACTCTACGGCGATCAAGCGATCGGGAGACGAGAGGCGCAGAGACCGGTAGAGAGTCTGCTCTCGGACTTTGTCGCGGCTTGTCGCAAATAAAATTTATAAGCTGTACGTATAACGCGCGCGGGAGACTCATCGCTGTGCAGACGTCCCATCGTGGGCACAACGGTTACAACGTCGACCTCGTGAAACAGGATCCCGCGTACGTTCGCCGGGACGCATCCTGCGTTAACTTGATACGAGTGGAGCACGTTTTTTTTTTTGTAAGCCGCGACCCGCGCCTACGCTCCATATTTTACCGGGAATTAATAATCGGGCGTGCGCGTCTCGTCTGACGGGGCTGCAGTTACGCGAAGATAAGTAAAACGCGCGCGCGCGCGCGTTCAAACTTCCGCATCCGCAGGAAGTCCGCGGGCAGAAGCGAAAAAATTACGCAATCAACGGCGTGCGAGCGCGCGCGCGCACGCGCGAGGGAGAACGGTTGCAACGGTCGCGCGCGCGCGTGCGTTCGCAAATCAGCCGGGCGGTTTCCGAAAAACGTTGGAGCACTTGGAGCCAGGCGGGGTCGCTTCCTTCCGCGGCACCCGGTATCGCGGGACCGCGCGCGGCGCCCCGCGATTGGCCGCCGCTGCCCGCGCCGCCGATCGGGTCACGTGACCACGCTCCGCCGCGCGCGTCACGCACGCTCAGAGTGGGAGACGCGTTGCACCGTTGCGCGTCGTGTTTCTCTCTCGGCGGTCGCCGCGTCGGGTCTCTTCGTGGAAGGGGGATAGAGCGCCGCGCCGCCAAGTTGCACTTGTGGTTACGGGCCCCATTGTCCGGAGACCGGCTTGAAGGCCGATCGCGTACGTCTCGTTCGTTCGCTCGCTCGCTCGCTCGTCAGCACGGTCGCCCGTCCCAATTCTGCCCCATCGACGTTATCGAACGCTGTCGCCGGTGTCGCGTTACGGCTCGTCTCGTAATTCAGTGTTGCCCGCCGATTGTGTGCTCTCCTCGCGATTTTTACCGGTGGTTTTTTTCGCCCGCTGTGAAGGTGTTCAACGAATCTCGCAGACATGGTCGCCGGCGGCAAGATGGTAAGCCGGCCGTTACCGGCGCGACTAGTTTGAATTCGTCATTCCGTTGATTCCGCATATCGCGATGTAGATATGTTGGGATCGCGACGCAGGCTCCGCTCTAGCACATCTCGCGATTCACTTTGATTTCATGACTGTATATGGAAAGTCTTCTATATATACAATATTGTTACAAGATATATATAAATTATTATTTTTTTAAACAATGATTTTATGAGGAAAAACATAAAAAAAAACGAGTTTGCGAGTAGAAAATAATGTGGAACGAATTAATAAATTCGTTCTCGTGAGAGCTGCTATAAAGTCCGCGTAGTAACGACGCGACGGTTGAGTCCCCGGGTTCTACCGGGTGACGCGTTTCGCTCGCGCACCACACCTGACGCCGTCGTTTTGTTTGCATGTGCTGCGAAGATGAACGTGAGGGTGACGACGATGGACGCGGAGCTGGAGTTTGCGATCCAGCAGACGACCACCGGGAAGCAACTGTTTGATCAGGTAGTCAAGACGATCGGGCTGCGCGAGGTGTGGTTCTTCGGTCTTCAGTACACCGACAACAAGGGCGACCTTACCTGGATCAAACTTTACAAGAAGGTAGGATATACTTACGTATTCGTCCCATGACGTTTCCTGCTTATCCGACGCCCTCCTGGAATTTAATCTTCCTCCCGTCTCGTAGTTTATTTCGAGACACCCATAGCTGGAGATTCCAAGAAGCGAGCTTGTATCGGAGTTAATAATGTAATATTAAAGATGCACGATTGTAAAGTTAAATTATTCATAAGACCAATATGAGAAGATTTGTGTTTTTGTAATTTTTCCGACGTTATATATATAGCCGAACGGTATTTCTAAAATTACGTATACTACCGTTAATTTTCATGATTCACGTTTCGCGCGCTCACTCGAGCGCGGATTCGCGCGTATACAATTTGCGTATAACGAGGATCATCGGTGGTTTCTTCGACACATCGGTATAATAACTTTTTGGAAGCGGTCGAAGATTCGCGACGAGGATTGAAAAAAAAACCGGTCGAGAAGCTCCGCTAGCTATAGCTTCGCTCGGCGCGGCCGGTGCTTCGGGAGCCGCATGCGAAATTCCATCGTGATCAATTTTCGGTGTGGATGGCAGTGAAAACCGAGCCCCGTGGTAACGGCTGTGCCATCATTGTCGCGTGACACGCGGGTACGCATTGTCGCGGAATGAAAGAAAGTGGAAATGCTCCAGATTGTCAAGTCGGAGGGGAGGGGAGAGGGGGCGCGACACCTGACCGTGCTCCGTATAGGATAGCGGTCCGCTTTGTAAAATTGTAGCCCCGCGTATCATGGAAGTATCCCCGAGGTATGTAATTGTAGATTAAAAACCGTGGAACATAGTTGGGATCGTTAGAGCGAAAAACGAATGATTACTCGCCTGCAGTGCACATGCATTGCGGCTTAAGCTAGTAATCTTCCACATTTTTCTCCCATTTCTCCGCCGACCTTATAATTCTGTATATCGCTAACCTAACGACAGTTTGAGGAAATTGTTCGACTGTGAAAAAAAGTACACAGGAAGGAACGAGCGTGTGTGTCTCGTTGAAACTTTCCGTGAGGCAAGAAGGAAAGTAATATCTCGGAAATAATTGCGTGTACGCGCGGGAACGCACGTTCGTAACGCGTTCTCGAGATTGCTATCGTCTCGATCGTCTAAGATTCGCCAGGAGGTTTACTCCCGATCGAGTTAGAAAACTTTTGTTTTCTTCAACGATCGCGGTTACGATTTCGATATTTTAGGTTATATCGGTCCCGCGTGATGTAATTTACGTATCTTCGCGGTCGACCGTGCATCAGATTTACGCTTACGCGCACGCAAAGTGTATGGAATTAATGCACGAAGTAGCAAGTAATTGCCGACTTCCTAAAGGAATTGCACGCGGCCGCGCGGGTATCTTTTTCCTCGTCGATGTTGCGCGCGAAGGGTCCTAAGCAGCAGCCGCTCGTGAACCTACGCCGATTCACACGAAACCTGTTCTGATGCGGCTGCGACGTGACGCGACGCGGTGGCCGCGTCGACGGGACTTTCTAGGATTATATCTCCCTTTAACTTTTTCTAATTACGTACATTCGTCGCGTTTCGCATTTCGCCGGAAGGGGCAAGGAGAGTCGTTAACGTGAATGCTTATGTTAATCCACACATGTTTACTTCAACACCTTTTTTTTCCCCTGAGATTCTTGATTCATCACTCTTTGTTTATTTTTTATCTTATTCCTATTTTTTATTCCCAGTTTCTCTCCAATTTGCTATCTTTTCCAATGGAGATTTCTCATTCGATCGATCGCGCACGGGTCGGCGAAATCGTCTTTTTTTCTTTTTGCCACCGCCATTCCGCGCAGCGGCGATAAAAGAGTTCTTGGTTTCTTAGATCTTCGTCGATGACAAATGCTGATGTCATCGTCTTTCAAGTGCAGGACACGTGTTCCGACGTCTTTGCGCTTCTTTTTTCTGATCACGAGGAGCGCGGTTTTTCTGACTATCATTGTTCCTCAAAGACGTCACAGAAGCTCCCACAAACTTTCCTTATTTCTCGTCGAAAATCACCGATCAGCAAGTCGCAGATATTTCTACGAGAATTTACTTATCAAGTCTTTCTCACGTTATTATTTTTTCTTCACAAATCTCTAAATATTTGGAAAAAGATAAACTCCGGATTTTCTTTCTGTAGATTTGAAAGATAAATTATTGGATTTATTTTTGTTTAACTTAAAGTATTTTCTGTATTTCTTTTGCTATAAAGTTTTGTTACCTATATTATATTTTATATTTACATTAAAAATCTATTTTTAGACATTAAGATTATTTGACGAATACTAAACTTCAGGCGATTTTTCAAGAATCATCTTGTTAAAAGAGTAAATATTATGAATCAGCACAATCGCCTGCAAAATCAATATCCGGCGAGCGACTGTGCCATCGTCCGATTTTGCTACCTGTTCGCGATCGGTCGACTCCAATTTTCGAGTCCGCGTACAGTTATTCGTAGATCAAGGCAGACACACACTACATCGGCTTTCACCGGCCGCAGACGACGCTCCTTCACCTTGACACAGTCGCCACTTGTCGCTCGTCATCTTGTCGGTCGTCTTTTTTTTTTCAACGGTTTTCTCGTCGACTCCGCAAAACAGCCTCCATAGATTTCTCGTTGTTCTACCTCGGTCGCGATCCCCCTAGACTTTCGAACCTGCCTCCGAACAGGAAAACGGGGAAAAACTGAGCGCGACAGGTGCAATACGCTCGCCAGGTGAAAATTGCGGTGGCTGGTATAACAGGCACGTGCTTGTACTGGCCCAGGCCACATTGAAAGAGCAGCTGGCGTGGCAATATAACGTCTGTTTCCCACGTGGTCTCGTTTCAGCGGTCGCGCCTGTAAAAATTATTCTCTGGCTTCATCTTTCATACATGACATTTAAATCAAGTTGACTCTAGACGCGATTAATTATGCGATAAAAATTATAATCGCGAATTTCTTAAGCGATGTAATAATTTTCAGAATACATTTCTTAACATTACATTTTTAGTATTCTAGTATTCGCATATTTCTGTCTTTATAAATATGTAACAGTCTCGTTCCTGCTTCATTAAAGTAGCAGCCAGATTTCTATAGACTTTGTTGCGATAAATTACGTAGAAATGAGTCAAGCTGTCAAAGTTGGTGCCATCCTTCCACTTCTTAATCTAATGAAATGAATACGGAGAGACGAAACCACCTTGAGTCGTTTCCCTCTAGCAGAATTTGTCGCGCTTGTGAATCACGAGCTGCTATTTACGCAACATCGTCGTTCGTACGTTGAACCTTAAAGTGTACTTAGATATGCGTCGATGGTAACACACTTCTATGCGATAAATAAAACATCAGAGCTAGATTCCGACGTAGGTGAATAGCTGCTTAGGGAAACAAAGATGGGAAAGAATATATGGGTTAATGTGTTAATACACGAGGGAAACGACCTCTGTGAAGTTAGCACCCCATTTTTTAAAAAATCAATTTTTCGATACAGTTCTGAATGCACCCCAAAGAGTTCCGGAGTTCCTGATAAAAATTAAAAATAGTTCCGGCGAATTAAGCAAAAAAATCTAATAAAAAAGTTTTGGGGTGCCAA